ATTTTTAAAAAAATTATTACATTTCTTAATTGTCCAATTCTATTATGACTTTGTATAAAGTTTACAAAATTTAAAATAAAAAAATCTGCACAATGCAAAAAGAATGGCCAGAGGAAACAACTGCCATCTCATAGATCACAAGGGGCCCCAGCATCCATTCCAGCCCAAGGCCTAGGAAAAGAGCCAGGTCTTAAGGACGCTTCTAAATAAGGACAGAGTGGGAGGTACCACTGAGAAGACCTGCTTTCTGGATATCAACAGGTAGTACTGCTTAATTGATAGGACCCAGAACATGCTGACTCTGACCGATTATATAGGGTTGGCAATAACTATGGAAGATAGGTGGTCCCTCAAGTAACCAGTCCATATGCCATGAAGGACTTTAGAGGTGAAACGAGCACCTTGAGTTCCATCTGGAATATTTTTAATAACTATCACTTTGGCATGCTCAGAGGGGTAGGTATGGGTCTTCTATTGGGAAATTTCTTTTTCTTTTTAGAAACAAAATAATCCTTCACCCAGGTACCTCCTTCCTTCACAGTTCATCTCTGCATTACATTTAGGACAACACATTATATTTCCCTTTTTTCCCAACATCTCAGTACTGATCAAGAGGTCACTCAATTTCCTTGATTCTCAAAGAGTGCTTGTTTTCTATGGGTTCTCTGGCAGGGTTTCAAAGAGAATATATATCTGTGCCCTAAGGGAAAAACCTGTATTCAGTTGTATTGTTAGAATTTGAAACACAGGAGAGATACATAAAATTATTCAAGGTACCCAGAAAAGTATAGATGTCCCATTTTTTAAGATATGAAAATCTGGGTTCATCCAATGACACTCATTGACAATAAGATTAGGTTGACAAAAGAAGATAGGAAAATGTTATGGCATGCACTGCCCCCAATTTATTTTAAGGGAGGTTTGGAAAAATAAATGAAGGATATACAGGTAGTCCTCACTTCACGTTGGTAATTGGGACCGGCAACTCTGTTGCTAAGCGATGCAGTCATAAAACGGGACTTCACATGACCACACCAACTTATGCTGGCAGTTTCAGCAGTTCCAGTTGATATCAATAGGTGAATCCCACGTGGTTGCAGGATCCCAGGTTCACATGATCACCATTTGTGACCTGCCAGCTTCCTCATTGACTTTGCTTGTTGGAAGCCGGCAGTAAAGGTTATGAATGGTGATCACATGACTGCGGGACTCTGCGATGGCTGCAACTACAAGGAACAGTTGTAAGTTCCCTCATTCAGAGCCGTTGTAACTTAAAACTGATCACTGAATGAACTGGTCACTGAATGAGGACTACTTGTATCAGTAACCAGCAGTATTTTTTAGTGAAGCTAAAATAACAAAAGTTGTGTAACCAAATGGTGTGACTGCCTTTGGTTTGGTGCTTTTTTTATAGTCTTTCTGGAAGTGTCTAATGGACCATTGTTAGAAATGTGATGCTGTATTCTTGGTCAGAAGCAGAAACTGCTTTTGTTTCTGTTCTTATAGTTAGTGAGATTCAGATTATTGGATAATGTCAAGAAAAACAATATAAATCAGGTTCAGTACGTGTATTTTCTTTTCTTTTTACAATTCTGTTTAATGTTAAAGTATTTAAATTTTAGAAATAGGAATTGTTTGCCTTGAGCTATATTAAAATTTAACATTACTGATTTGACATTAATTCTTGAATGCATTTAACTAGCTCAGCTAAAATAGAGAATATATGCATTTAGAACCCCAACTTGCTTGTCATGTTGGAGTAATCTTTTATAGTATGGAATTATTAGATTTAAGCACAGAACTTATTTATCTTTTATTTATTTGGTAAATTTATATTAAATTTAAT